GCTTAATTATAATTTCGGTATTTTTATTGTTAGCCCATAGTAAGTGTCGAAGTCGACCCCTCGTCACTACTTCTTCGAGGTTAGACTAGATACTTACTGGATACATGTTGTTTATGTACTCACGATACACTTCTGCGTTAGTGCAGGATCTGAGGCAGGTGCATCTGGATATCAGTTCGACGCGCATCCTTGATTACTACGAGACTTAGCGGTGAGCTAACTTCCGAACCCGTTCTGCAGCAGCCGAAGTCTTTCTTTTGCTTTTATTTCCTGTCCATTTCACTTCAGACAGTAGTGTAGTATTCTTTTGTATATTCTACTAGTAGCTCATACACTTGTGATACTAGGTCTTGGAGATTTATGCCAGTTGACACTTGTTGATTTTTGAGTAATTACTTCATCCCATTGCTTTTAAAATTATTTACTTTCTCATTTTACTAACTTTTTCACTTCTTGAATTCGGAATAATTAAAAATCAACTATTTCAAATTTCTAAAAGAAAAGATCCCAGAGTTAGTTCACTGTTGGCTTGACTAGCGGTAGCGTTGGACACCATCATGACCTATAAGAGAAATTGGGTCGTGACATAGAGTGAGTAATAAAAGTTCTTGTAACAGTTGCCTCTGGCCTCCTTCGATCACAAAGTAGAAATTTAAATTAAATTTTTTAAAATTAAAATTGATAAAATCTTACTTAAGATCAATCATGGTGCAAAAGAGATTGAATGCATTAGCTATATTATCAATTAAAAAAAAATATTAAAAAAAATTAATTATAAAATAATTATCGTAATTTTGCATTTCAAAAAGTTAGAAAAGTAGATTTCAAATAAATAACATATATGAATTTTTTTATACGAAAAAGTTAAAGGCCTCTTACGAAAGTTTGGCTTTAGGTTCCCAATAGTACTGAGTCTCCCCTAGATCAGTATCATAACCGACTTGTAAATATCCTAGCAATCATTATATTGGTCACAAGTTCATACCACCATCATAATTTTTTTGGAAAATATTTTGGTAAATCGTCATAATTGGCCATAAATTCTAACCATTACCATAGATGCCATGCGAAAAATTCACCAATATGTTTAGCTTCGAGAATGATCCAAATCAACTCCAAATGACTCCAAATTTGAATATATAACCTTCTAATATCAATTTCAACTCCAATGGTTAGATTAAACATAAACCTTAAAAAATCAATAAATTCACTTTGTTTTCTTCAAAAAGATTTTTTCAAGCTCGAACAAAAACCAACAATGGTATTTATTTTTTTATTTTCTCCAACCAAACTAATCCAAATCATTAAAGACAGACAATATAAGTTCAATGAAATATTACCTACTTAATTTTAATCACAAATAAGTAATGAATCTTCAGTTTTCTATATCACATTTTATTCTTTTTTAAATTTAGTTGTGTCATAATTTATTGGAAGAAAAAGAAGGAAAAGGAGAAAGAAGAATAAAAAAAATGCAGAAGGATGAAGTAGGAGAAGAAGAAGAAGATGGAGAAGAAAGAAGAAAGAGGAAAGAGGACAAGAAGAAAATATAACAAAGAGCTAAAAAAAATTAATGAGGTCAAAATTTAAGGGTCTGTTTGGAAAGCCACTCGGTAATTGGAATTGGTATAATTACTAGGTAGTAATTACACAGCCTAGTAATTACACAATATAGTTATTACGACGGCCTGTTTGTTTAATTGTCATAACATAATCACAGTGTAATTACAAGCATATTGTTTGGTTGCACAAGTGTAATTACACAATTAGATTAAATTTTTAATGAAATAATTATCAAAACTTAAAAGTTAATATAATAAATATATGTTTATAAATAATTTTTTATAAGTATAAATAATAATAGATTTGGTATTTAAGATGCATATTTTTTCTTGAATATACATTAATTAGTAATCATATATTTATAACTAATATTGTAAAAATAATTGATATATATTTTCCAAATTAATAATATTTAATTTAATAAATTATAAAAACTAAAAACATATGTTTTGTAAGAACATCATGGAATGCATGTTGGATAAAATAAATTAATATTTATAAATATAATATCATAACATTATTCAATTATTTGACAAAACTAATCTAGCAATTCTAACTAAAAATGAACAACATGCAATGTGAAATAACAAGACAATACTACTAAAATAAGTAAATTGGAACCATAAATATAACACAATTTCAAAATCCAAAAAAAAAAAGGTTTAACATATATCAAATTCTAACATAATAAAAATAAGTTCCAATAACCACTTAAGATTGGGAAACTTAATAGTATGTTTATAACCTCATTTAACAAAAAAAATTTACTTTAATGATATCACTCATTATATGCCAAGTTTGTTAATGACTCATTATTTCTAATATTAGGAGATGTAGTTCAAAAACTAGAATAATAATACAGTTACGCTAAGTGACGAAAATAAAATAAATAAGAAATAAATATACGAGCAATTACATGGAATCATAAGAAGTCAAGGTAGAGAAAAAGTAAATAATGTACAAAGAAAAATATATTCTAAAAAAATTAAAAATTAAAAATAAAAGAAAAAAATTAAAATAAAAAGAAATTAAAATAATAAAAATAAAAAGTTACAAAGAAAATAAATAAAAATAAAAATAAAATAAAAGAAATTAAAAAGTAATCTTGTAATTACGCCGTGTAATTACCATCAATTATCACCTCTCCTTCAGAATTGAAGAGTGTAATTACACCTCTTCAATTACACTCAATTTCATACTGACCAAGTAATGCCAAACTGTGTAATTACATTCAATTACACCCAAATTCAATTCCTATATGACTTCCAAACAGGCTCTAAATGATGTTCTTAAAGAAATCACGCAATTATTGGTTTTTCATGGGAAATAATTCTTTTTCTTTTCCCGGAGGGAACTTCGTAGAAAAGAACTCAACCTTCAACCTCCATCTTAAGGAACTGGCGTTTGCTTCAAATATTCAAGCAGAGTTCTTGCAATTTTTCTTTTTAATATTTTACAAAAACCTGTTTTTCCACCAAACATCAAACTAATTTATGGGTTTAATAGACATTGAATGTGAGTAAGTTTTTTTATTCTTGTACCTACGAAAACTTTTTACCAATTATATACTCTCACTTGTAGCTAGTGTTGGGCATATATCGGGTATAACCGATATCCCGAACCGATAAAAAAATATTAGGTTATCGATATCGGGTTATTGGGTAAATAGTTCGATAACGATTTAATGTTATTTGACTATTGGGTTATCGGTTCGGGTCTCGGTTTGCCCAATGTATCGAAAATATGACACCGTAAAAATAATAGCCAAAAAAATATATAAAATTTGTATATATTTTGTATATATACACATTAAGAATGTTATATACAAAAATTATATAAAATTTATACACTTTTTCGGCTACCGGATGTAAATAGTTTCTAGCGCGGGATAAAAGTGATAATACCCCAATTTTATTAACGGTGTAACCGATAGCCCAATAAGCTTTAACAAAATTATAATTTTACCCACTAAGTATATAAAGCCGCCTTATGACTTCATTCTCTCATTCTCTCAATTCTCTCGGCGATTACTCTTCATCTTCAGACCTTAATCCTTATAGTAAGTTTTAAACTTTTCTGAATTTCTCATCTTAATTTTTCAGTTAAGATTTTTAGTTTTAAACCTTTAAAGAATTAATGGTTCAGATTTTTAGTTTTTCTATTTGTTTCTTTTGTTGCGGTTATTCTTTAGTATTTACAAGATTAGGTATTATTATTTTCCTGTGAATTATGCCCTCCCGCAATGAGATAGTTAGTAAGATTAGATTGTTGAATGTCTTATTCCTTACTCCTACTAACTTATAACTTTGAATATTGAGATCATTCATTGGGATATTTTCAAATGCAAAGAAAGTTTTCTTTTCTAAAGTTGAAATTTAATCCCTCTTTTCTTAAGAGCAAAAATTCAGTTTCTTTTTCTTAACAGTATGATCACGATTTTTATAATAAAAACATGAATTTTTTGAATATTTTTTATTCTTATCGGTAAACCGATAACCGAACCAATAAGGATCGATAAACGACTGACCAATACTCGATAATCGATATCTTATCGATTCGGTTATCGGTTTAGCATATTTATAAATCGACAATAAATATGCTGAACCGATAATATTTACAACCAAACCGAACCGATCGATACCCACCCCTACTTGTAGCATCCTTGTGGAAGATCTTACATCCTTAGTAAAATTGTAGAAAGTTTATAGGCTATTATATGAGATAGATGAATAGTTTAATGTGAGCACTTACCACTTAGAATTTGACGTAAACTAAATAATTTTAAAATCACAAATATTTGAATTTTAATGCTTGAAGCTTAGTTTAAAACTTTAAATTCAAACAAAGCTAAAGGAATTATTTTCTATCGAAAAAACTGCTTGTTTCTTAGACTTGCGCAAACCGACCTCAAATTTACAAGTTGATTACAAATTTGTAACTGAACATAAATAATCCTCCAAGTTTTCAGTTCGGGTCACTTTTGGTCCAGCCACGAATGGCGTCTTTGAGTTTAAAAATGACCAAAGTGAGAATTTTAAGTCTTTATCATGCATTCAAGATTCATCTTAGCATATTTTCATCTAGGCATTTTAGATGATCAGACTTTTAGGTTTCATTCTCTCCTCGATACATATTTGAAAACTCTGTTGCACACTAGAGTTTATTTGATCTTCCTATTCTTAGGTACTTTTCACAATATCCATCTTACTACTCTTATAAATTCAGCTTGGTTATTATATCATCATCATACCAAACATGAGGCAGACTGATTATATGATGCTTTAGCTTAAATTAAGTTTACCATTTCTTTTTCTTTATTCTTGTTTCTTGCAGGCTCTTTTTGCTTCCTTTTTCCCTTCTTGGTTATGCATATAAGGCTCATCAGATTGGTATACCAAGAGCTGCAGCAACGAGTACCTCAAGCCTAAAAAGGAAAGTGACAATACAAAAGTATTATAGCACAAAATAAGTAAGCATTCATAATTGAATTTGAAGCTTTGGTTATCACATATCACTGACCACAAGGGTCTTTCTGCATCCTCTAAACTGGCATGGAGCCTAATCGACTTCACAACACGTCTGAAGTTTCAATTACTAAGCCTAAAATTGTGATTGCCTCTGAGAACTGGACTTCAATGCCAAGCTCACCCGGCTGGCCTTCTCCGGCTATTCTTCAGACAAGAGAGATGCCAATCTTCCCTGCAATGTTGTTTGGATTTCTCCGATCCGACTTGCTAATTTCCAACCGCCATGTATTTCAGTCTGTTCTTTTACGAAAAACAGGAAAAGAAAAGGAGGTATAAATATTATCTGGGCAAATTTCTGCGTCCATGAATGAACGAGTGAAAGAACAACCCGAAATGAATGGCATCATTCTCTTTTATCCTCCTCAAGAACTTCTCCTAGCCCAAACACATGATCTGCTGCAATAGATGCCTTCCTCTCCTTCCTTTCCAGTTTAGACACAAGATCTCCTCCCACTATTACTCCACTGCCTGTGAGGGACAGACCCTCCTCCTCATCATCAAGAGTCTCCCCTGAATATGCGTATCTGTAAAATTGTGAAGAGATAACAAATTAGAGACTATTTTCAGAAAAAACTACCAAATAAAGGACTAACCCAGCAGATCAAGGACTTCGTAGACGAACCAAAACTTTGCATGAGTGAGAGAATCACAAGATACAATATGAAAATGGAACAGACAGATTTCTAAGTTTCAATCCTTTTCTTTTGTGAAGTAAAAAGCAGTCGCCACCAGCAACACAAGAGGGATATATTTTACAGACCCATCAAAACTCATCGAAACTTAACCTTAAATAAGAGAAACAAGGCAGTTTAGGCTTGCCTAATCTTAGAAGAGTTGGGAAGGTACATAAAAGATGCCGACGGTTCAGATATAATTACTGGCACATGAAATTCATCATTACATGTATTGATTTAATGACACCCCGCAACAAAGAAAGTGCAACAGAAGTTCCTGTTTCCATAACCATACAAAAAGAGAGCCAACGGAAAAAAATGGATTATCTTTGTTCCCTGCTTAGGGCAGGGACATAGAGGTTTCATCTCATTAGAACTTGGACAAGATAAGCAGATTGATTTTCCTCACTTCAGTAAACTTATTCAACTGTCGGAAAGGAGGAGATTCAGAAACTGTACTCAAGCAAATATTGTAGGATTTTATTCCAATTAGTTCCAACGGCCATCTATTCGTGCATCATTTTCAATTATAAGATACCGTTTTCTGTTTCAAATAATTAAGATATAAGTTTTGCCCCTTAAAGGACAGCATTTTACTTTCAATTAGCATGTTCAAACTAATTGGAAATAAGTAAAATGCTCATTCATTTTAATATAACTTGTCAATTTAGGAGAGAAATATCAAAAGAACCACTAACATCTTTAAACTCACATTGTTATACTCGTGCAAAACAAAACAAATTCAGCAAAAACTATTTATACAGATAAATATTAACAGCAAAAAATGATTCCAAACAAGTCCTATATTTCCATCCAACTCCACATATTGAAGGCAATGAATATTTGTTACTCTGGGCACTTTGTCTTTGCATACTCAATATAGATCTCTTATATTCACTGATAATGGACAGTGCAGTATCATTTTCTTCTGTAAGCCAAAGACTCGATTAACAGCAACAGTCACATACTCACAGCTAGTCATGCTTTCCATTTATAAATGAATTCAATAGCCATCACTAACATGAAGCACATTTAGAAGTATGTCTTAATCCTCAATCCATTTGCAGTAATCTTCAGCCAGTAACAATAGAAGTAAGCTATACTAACTGCACTGACAAGAAAAGGAAGGGGACAAGGATTATTCACCTGGTTGGGTTATTCGAAGGAGCCCAGAGAATGCATATCACCGTCAAAAGCAAGTACGCTAGTATGGTCCAGAAAGCAGGGATAATCCAGGCTCTTCGCCACAATTCACTCAATGGATCACTTGCATTAAAGTACAGCTGCATAAACAAATATATTAATTTCAGAGAGTAATCAAGAAAAGAAACTTATAATATTGAGGAAAGAGAAAGGGAATACAACCATAAAGAATACCTCATAGCCAATCCAAGCAACAGAGAGCAGAACTGAAACTGCTAGAGAATTGGTAAACTTTCGGTACAGTTCAAGCTTGGCCACGCTTCTACGAATCTGAGGTACATATGGGCAAAGAAGGAAGCCTTCAGATTCAAGACAAGGATGTTTGTGTTTTCCTCGCACATTGAACAAAACCAACACTCTCCAGTCAAAAAAGAGAAACAAAAACTTAAACTGTTGAAATTATATAAAACTTCTCCTTGGGTTAAGAAGACTTAAAGAGAGTGATGAACTATGATGGAGTCAAAGATCAGTTCAATTGTTGAGATTCTCTATATCTCCAACATAAGTGCATTTGTAATCAACTATACATCAACCAGAGTTTAAAGACATCAGGTATCCACCAAACAATTCAAAAGAGAAAAGGAGTATGTTTATGATGAAAATGCAATTATCTTGTAGTTTGAGCAAAAAAGAGATTCAGAAAGCAGAGACTACGACAGTATATAACTGATCAACCATCTTGTATTTCTTATTAGTATTTTTGACCAATCTCTAACTAATAGAATACAAAGAAAGAAAGTTTTCATCACCTGAAGCTTCTCTAAAGTTTTGGATAATGAGGAAAATATCCATACAATGAAGCAGGAATCTAATAAAGCAACGGGTAACACCAAAAAGATTCTCGCTTTTCCGGAGAAGTCGTTGATATTTCCCAAATGTTCAACCAGCTCCAAGGCTTCAGAAGCTAGAAAGTATACCACACCCAGAAGAAGTACCTTTGAGGTTATACCGCCCAGTGTGGGCCGTACAACACCATAACCCATTGAAACCACTAGAAGAAGTAAACGTGAGACGGTCTTCTTTATAGCACTGAAGGTAACGGCCCACATGGTAATTCCCATTGGCCTGCTACCTGTGGCATTAAAATTTGCATATTCAAAATAC